AAAAACAGTATTTTTTTTCTTTACACCAACAGTTGCCCCAGAAGATCCTAGCAGAAAGGTAGATGGTGATACCATTATTTTCTCACATGTGCAAGAAAGGTCGAGTGCTGTCTATCAGTGCAATGCTTCTAATGAATATGGATACTTGCTAGCAAATGCATTTGTGAATGTTCTGGGTAAGAAACAGATTTTATATTTTTCAGTTTTCTTGCGTATTTAGTTGTCTCCTGCTACAACATGGATTGCATGCTCAAGCCTTGCTTAAGGTCTTCAGTGGGAATGGATGTATTTCCTGAGCCCTGTAAAAGGCAAGGGTATACATACCTTGTTTTTTGTAGGATATTCCTGAATTTCATTTTTACTATTCCCAAGTAAGAAGGATAGTTCTGAAAGCTGGGGAAAACTTGGAAGAATTTGTGTCTCTCTCTTTTTTTTTTTTTTTTTTAATGTAAATCAAGCAAGTGGAAGCATAGCAAATAAGGCAGGATTTAATATTCCTTAAGTTAGTGTGTTTCAGTACACTTTCATTTGATTGTGGGTGTTTTGGATCAGTTAAATAGATGATTGCTGAATTGCTATTGCAAGAGGACATGATTATGCATTTGTCTTGAAGACTTCCCAAGAATGCGTTTCTAGTTACGAGATAATGTGGCCTCTCTAATTCTTCTCACTGAATTTAACAAAGCTAGTAGCAAAATCCTAGGCAGAATGGCCTCTAAAGACTCTCCTGCAGGAACTGGCAGATCTTTCGATTGAGAGACAGTGTCTTTTAAATTAAAGAACTCAATTTGATTCCATGTTTCTTTAAAAAAAAGTAGGTGTTTTGCCAAAAATACATCTTAGCTTCTTTCTGCCTGCAGGTTTGTTCAAAATTATGTAGTTCAGTCTGTTCCCAGGAGTTTGTCTTCTTGAAGTATATTCTGATTTAAATTTTACAAATGAAATCATTGCCTTTTGTGCCCATCCCTATTAATTGTAAACAGGGAAGAAGCATTTGTTTTTTACAAGATAATTCTCCTACAATAATGTTTCTCAGGCTACTGGCAGTAGAATGTATTTGGACCTAGACTGAGACCAGAAATCACTTCAGAGAAGGATGTTAATATATAATTCTTTAGGCCATTCTTGATGTCTTAGTGTTTGGTATTTCCATCTTCGTATCTATATCCGGGTATCTTTGTCTTTTCAGCTGAGCCACCAAGAATTCTAACTCCTGCTAATAAACTGTATCAAGTGATTGCAGATAGTCCTGCATTGCTAGACTGCACTTATTTTGGTTCACCTAAGCCTGAAATTGAATGGTAAGCTGTAGTTGTGCTTACGTTATGTAAAAAGAGCCAGCTATATCTATGGAAACAAACATTTAAAGCTTTAAAACAATTTTTACTCTATTTGCAATTTAGAAATAGTATATTTTAAAATATATGCTGATTACAATATGCTAATACAATATTACATATACTTAATGTGGCAACAGTTAAGTTATCCCTACAGAGTCAAATTTAAATTTCATTATGTCATTCTGTCTGTATTTTCTACTGTGGAAGGTACAACAGAATTTAACTATGAAGTTGGATAATGATATTACTTTTTGTATAAAGGTTTAAGGGAGTGAAAGGTAGCATCTTGCGTGGAAGTGAATACGTTTTCCATGACAATGGAACCTTGGAAATTCCGGTGGCTCAAAAGGATAGTACTGGTACATACACATGTGTAGCAAGGAATGAATTAGGAAAGACACAAAATGAGGTACAGTTGGAAGTTAAAGGTAAGAAATTAATCACTCTGTCATCACAGGTTAGTATAGAATTTTAGACTTTTGAATATCTAATAGTAATTTTAAATTTCAGATCCAACAATGATAATTAAACAGCCAGAATACAAAGTGATTCAGAGATACAGCCAAGTTTCATTTGAGTGTATAATAAAACATGATTCTACCTTATTGCCAACAGTTATATGGCTGAAGGACAATAATGAACTGCCAGATGATGAAAGGTATGGACAAAATAATTTTCGTTTCTTTTTAGTTTTCTAGTTTATTTTTTCTGCTCCTTTTCCTGATCTTTGAATGGAACGTATTGACATTTTCCAAAGAAGACTGATAAATATCATCACTATCCGATACTTGGTGACTAAAGGACTTACTTAGTGTGGTGAAAATATTAAGATAGAATTGAAAATAAAATGAGATGTAAAAATGTTTCATTGTGCACAGTGACGTTTATCAACTGTAAGGAGAAGATAATTGGCATAAGAAGCCAAAGGGATAATGGAGGACTATTTTTTCATAGAATCATAGAATCATTAAGGTTGGAAAAGACCTCAAGGATCATCAAGTCCAATCCAATTTTGCTCTAGATCACAGATAATTAAAAGTTGTTTGAGTATATTTTGAAATAAAAGCACATTAGGATAGACAGTAACCATGGGAAGATGGTTAAGAGCAATGTAGAAAAGGCTGACATAGTCCCATAGCTTACATTGCTGTCTAGGTATTTTCTGAAATACACAAGTGTATGGGATTTGATAATGTCTTATGCAAGTTTCTTAATACCGTACCAGTTCTTGAAAAATCAGTGGCTGAATCTATTGTATTTACAGGTTTCTAGTTGGTAAAGACAACTTGACCATTATGAACGTAACTGATAAAGATGATGGAACATACACTTGCATAGTTAATACTACTCTGGACAGTGTTTCAGCAAGTGCTGTGCTTACTGTTGTTGGTAAGAATATTCTCAAAATTTATGGTAGCAGAACTGTGTTTAATTACTCTGAAGCATGAAAACAGCATTAGACTTAAAATGAAAAGCACAAGCATAGTTTTGGTTTCTAGGACAGGACAAAGGAAATAATCACCTATTTGTAAATGTGTTTCAGCTTTTTAAAAAATAGAGTCTTACCCTAAAGTTTACCTTTGAATTAGCTACTTACAAAGAGGCCCAGTAGCTACAGGACACATTCAGTTTCATGCTGTATAGGTTTTTATTTGGATCCCATCTGAGCTTACGCAGTAGATTGCATATTGCAGAGTATTTGAACGTTAACATGTTATCTCAGGAATCTCTTTCGCAGCTCAGTTATGCTTCAGAAAGACTGAGCATGCTTGGTTGTATGATTTTTCAATTATTTTCTTTTTAAATTAGTTCTCTCTGCTAAGTTTCTATGATTCCAGATTATTGTAAAATATGTTACTTTGACCCTTCTCACAATTTGTAAGAAAGTTTTAAGTAAATGTCCTGAATGATTCTTACCTGAGTTCAAGCTGAGATTCAAACTCAAGTATGCTTGTGTTTCAAAATTGTGTTGTAATGTTACACCTATGCAGGAATGACATATGGCAAATGTCTCATACTTATTTAAAAGTTGTAATAAGATTGCCTACTTTATTTTCTTCATCTATCCTTGTTAAAAATTGGTAAAATATTCAATAAGACTTTTATAACTTTTCAGTGAAATATTATCAATGTAATAATTAAAATCAACCATTTAAATAAGTTAACTTTTCTTTGTCTCTAATAATTCTAGTCTTTAACTACCTACATTATTCTGTTTCTTTGGCTACTAACTGATTAAATCCTTTATATTAATGTTCTTTTCAGCTGCTCCCCCAACTCCAGCTATCATTTACGGTAAACTAATACAAAGTTCTCTTTCTACATCATCTGCCAGATGTATTTCTCATTTGCCTATTGCAAAGTGCAACATCTTTTATTTTTCTTCCCTTTTTCCTGTGTTTGTGTATGTGTGTGGTTTCATTCTGTTTTACCAACTGTTTCATTAGTGGAGTATTGGACTTTGGGATTTTACAGTGCAGGTTGCTTTGTATTTTAGGGAATAAATAATTTTCAGTGATAAATTATTTTTAATTAAGGTTGGTTACCGTGTGATAATGTTTTTCTCATAGAGAACACTGTAAGATAAAGTAGTTATATAATAAATGAAAGATCTAAAAGGTAAATCCACCTGTTCGTTGAAGGCTAATTCATTATCAGAGAACTTGCACCAACCAAATTATGGTATATTTTGACATTGCTTTTGATGACCACTTTGTAGGCGTGATGTACTTTATTTCGTAGTTTGTCTACATTTTAATTCACTCATAAAATTGGTAGGACCATAGTGAACAGTTTGGTTTCTGATTGATGAAATTGCTAATAAGGATTTTAAAATTACAGCTGAAATTCCCCTGTCAGGTAGAGTCTTAAATTTGACCAGTATACAACCTTTAATTTGGTAGCATTTTTTCTGAATTTGGATTTTAAAGTGCAATATAATGTGCCTAAAGTATGAGTGACTTGAGCACATTTATTTAACTCCTATCGCATAGAGTGAAAATGCTTATGTATTCTTAAATGAGCCTACTCATTAGTCTTGATTTTTGTGTAACAAATCATATAATGAATTACTTTAATCAATTTGGAATGGACAATTACATCTTTATGCATTATGAGGATGTGTATTAACAGGATGCTTGGTATTTCAGGATTTTTTAAAAGTACAGCAAAAAAATAAATTACTTGGTGACTTGGAATTTGTTTCTGTTTGAACTATACTTGTTTTGAATTCACATGCAAAATATTTGTAGTAATTTTAGAAAAGTTTATTTGATGTGAATGCTTCTTTATTTTCGATGTTTTATTAACTATTTCTAGTTAAAATAGTTAACCACTTATAATCATTTAAACATAAACTAAACATGAGTTTCATATTTCTTTGCATCTCATTACATTTTTAAACCACAGTGCAATCAGATGTAGATAAAGTAAAATATAAATTCTTGTTAATGTATAGAAGTTTCCAGATACATCAGTTCTCCATTTTATCTCTGTTTTGTAACAATTGCATGCTGATGGTCATTAAGTCATGCTTACATAAGTGAGTAGATCTGCCCTGCTGTATTTGTGGAATTCTTTTGATTGGAATTTAAGGATTTTTTTCAGAGGTGAAATAACGTATTCTGGTGTGATTATTTACATTGTCTTAATTTGATTTACAGCTCGGCCAAATCCACCATTTGACCTGGAACTGACAGGTCAGCTAGAAAGAAGTGTTGAACTTTCATGGATACCAGGAGATGAAAATAACAGTCCCATTACAAGTATGTTTGTTTGTATCTATTGCATTATGTTACCTGTTCTCAGATTGCAAAGAGTTCTGAGATAAATTTTGTGTGCAGCATGGAAGAATGGCAAATTCATTCCCTACGGTAGCCTTTTCTTTACATAACAAAAATTCAAGGAATGTCCTCTACTGTACAGCCAAGCAGAAAGACTTATTTACTGCCCTCAAGAGCTGGGCTTTTGATCCAAAAACCTATGCTAATCCAGTCTTATGAATATGTAGAGAGTAAACGTGTTCTTTAGTTGTATGCTTCTGAAGGAGAGAGCTGCTAACATTTTACATTAACTCTTGTAATTCCCATGAATTAAAAATAGTATCAGTACCAGTATCTGTAGGGATTACCCGTCACTACTGATACAGAAGCTTATTCTTCATGAAAATATAAGCCAGATAGTTTTTGGTTTGGTTTTGTTTTGTTTTGTTTTTCTAGTCCAGACAGTTGAAGGAATAAAGCATGTTCATATGACAGAGAAAATAGACATCTATAAACTTTTGAGACAGGACATTGATCTTAAATGCTATTATTCCTCCCCAGTAGAACATAATGAAAGATACTCTTGCTTATATTGAGCAGAGAGGATAGAGGGGGAATTTAGGAGGAAGGATGTTACTTTTGGTTTTCCAAATAAAATAGGATCAGAAAGATTTGTTGGAGCAACTTTTTCATTATGAGCAACTTAATGTAATTACTTAATTATTTACGCAGTGTATTTTTACTTAATAACTGTCACAAGTTACCAAGACCATTGTACATGTTATATTTGTAATGAATGAGTTAGGCTGATTTGTTGAGTGTTACTCCCCAAGGTCTGATGCTGATCTGTATCAACACTGAAGGCAAACCGTTAGGATCAGGCGTCTGGAAAGGAAGTTTTCTAAAAATAGAATTTCACAAATTTCAGAACACATCAGAGAGTTTGATTGCATTTTAATAAAACACCAAGGAATTTTGCTTGTCTATCCAAGGGATTAGACACTTTCAGACTTGTCTAATGTATATCAACTAGTAAGGTATTTTTAAAAATATAATATATAGAAGTTTATTGTAAATAGTTGAATGGTATTTAAGTTGTGGCTTATTTCTATACTCTTGTATGAGTATCTTCATTTTTTTGCCGGACCAGAAGACACAAGTCTTTCCTTTCTGTAGAAATGAGATCACACTGTTTCAAAAGAGTGATACTAAGTGGTGTTGGCTCATGTCAGAGTTTTTCTAGATGCGAGATGTTGCATATACACTCTGATATTGGAAATTGAACTCTTCTGACTAAATAATGCTGGTTTTAATTATGATTCAATTTATATTGCTGCATGGTCCTGTGAGAGGACCTGTAAAATAGGGCATTTGCTTCATAAGTAAGCCTATTATTGCTGCTGCTGTTATCACTTCAAAGTGCAGGTCAAGACTCAAGGATAGCACTTAATTATGAGTGATCGCTTTACAGAAGTAATACAGTTGACATACTAGAATCTCTTTGAAAGCTCAAATAGAATTTTTTTCATTGAAGTCTATAAATTGCTCTGCTAGAGTTGCAGGTCTGCTAGTTCTACTAGAGTTGCAGGCAGAATGCTAGCTACTAGGGAAGCAAAAAGCTGTGGAAACTTTGTGGGTGACTTTTTTTTTTTTTTTTGGCATGTAATATTCTTACCTTTTCAACAATGACTTTGATTCAGAACACAGCCCATCCCAAGACCTTTATCTCTCTGCACACAATGCCAGCTATAACTCAGGCAGTAATTTTGGGCCAGTTCTCCATCTTTCTTTCTATTCAAGTCAGGATGAAATCTGCAAGCCTTAAGTCCAGAAGTCTATGATTAGTACTACTTATCGATTTCAGTTCTTGAACAGCTTGTCTCCTCAAACTGTTGTGCATTATTTCTATGTGGTACTGTATGTTCTTCTAAAAGCAATTCTAGATGGCCCTCAAAATTTCTTTATTAGAGCACACAGGATGTATTCTGAATCATGTTGTGGCTTCTTGTCCCCACCTATACATGAGATAGGGCAAAGGTTTTTTTACACAACACAAATATTTGATCCTCATGTAAAATTAGTATATCTAAAATTTATATCTCATACAGGAAATTTTTTGTCTGTTTTACAGCTGGAAAAAAAATATCCCTTTGTCTTTGATAATGAATATGATTTTCTGTTTGGTATTCTGAAAACCTGTTTATCCCTGAGGTTATATACTGTGTAGAGTCTTTAACAGTAATCATCGTAATGTTCACACAGAGAACTCAAGAAATTTAGCTTCTGAACATACATTCCTTGACTTAATTTGAAGGTACTGAAAAGTGCTCTCGTAAACCTTCCTCAAGTATTAGTTCTTGACTTTAAGTAGTTCTTCACTAAGGCAGTCTCATTGGAGCAAATGGAATACTCAGAGAGTTTTAATATTGTACAGGCACTACTTACTGTCAGCTTGATACAAGTAAGACCAATATATTTGTCAGACAAATATTAATTTTACATAAAAATTCCAATCTTATCCCACTTTCTTCCTGTGATATTTCAAGGGTTCCTGTTACATTAAAATCTGGTACCTGAGAGAGAGCTCTTGTAATAAAGTGTTACCTGACAGGTAGCTGCATTAGTGAAAATAACAAATAATAAAAGTAAGAGTGTTTCTATTATATTTCTGCCTAGACAGTACTTTTGAGATCCACATTATAGATTTCTGTTGTGGTTTATGTACTTCTATTTCAATGTCCATGTTTTTTAAAAATGTTGATTGGATCACTCCCTTCTGATTAGCTCATTCAGAAATACCTACACTGATCTCGGATGTTGTTGCAAGTTTTGACATAGAGTTGGATTCAATTTCTGTTTACAGATTTTGTGATTGAATATGAAGATGGGCTGCATGAACCAGGGGTATGGCATTACCAGACTGAAGTTCCTGGAACTCAGACAACAGTACAGTTGAAGTTGTCTCCATATGTCAACTACTCATTCCGTGTGATAGCAGTCAATGAGATTGGCAGAAGTCAGCCGAGTGAACCGTCTGAGCAATACCTGACAAAATCTGCAAGTAAATACCTATTCCCACTTAGCAGTGACTGATTTATATTATGAATGGCATAGAATTTGCTTGGAATGCAAACAGCAGTCATTCTTGTTCACGTGTAAATATTTTATTTTTAGGCCCTGATGAAAATCCTTCTAATGTACAAGGGATAGGCTCAGAACCTGATAATTTGGTAATAACGTGGGAGGTAAGTTTGGGTTTTGGAGGTTTCATTTGTTTGTTTTCAGACCTGTGAGTAGCATTTTTTTAGAGAAATAATAGTGATCTAACTGTGAACATGCTATGAGAATACCCAGTGTGTTGTTTGCTTAAAACATTCTTGAAAAGAGTAAAATACAGACAATTCCCCATCTTAATTTTCAGGAAAAAAGTTCCATTGCATTATTAAAGAAAAATAAGAGTTTAAGGTGCTGTATTTTCCTTGAGTGATTTCTCAAGTCATTGATTTGGTAATACAGGATGTTTTGCTGCCAATTTAGGAAAACTTAAGTATGTAAATTGTGGTTTATCTCAAGTAGAGTCTTATTTTTAGAATTAAATCTAATGTGAATCCCAATTCTACCCTCAACTTTTGTGATAAACTAAATTATTGTGCACTTTTCCACTAAAAAGCTTTTGTGAAAATTTTTTTTCTGTTGTGCTCTTGCCATCATCACAGGAGCTCAAGGAGAGCCATGTAAAACCAATTTCCTATTCCAGGCAAGAAACATTGTCTAGGGAACACTGTTTATAGGGAGTTGGTGTAAGTCTGTCTTTCCCTCTCCCACTTCTTAAGAAGCATTTGAAAACAAAATATGTATAGACAAATCACAATGTATGGTTGCATGAGAATTAGCCAGGATCACCATTCAGTGTGATTTTTACTATTGAATGAAAAGCAACTGAACTGACCTGTAAAAGCTAAATAGCATAGCTTGGCATTTCAGCAGTGCTTCTCTGTCACAGAGCGCAATGGTAATTTACTGATTTTCAGTAAAATTCTAAGAATCATTATATTTTCTTTGTGACTTTGCATTTTTCAGATGCTTCAGAATATTTTTAAAAATATTTCTTTTCATTTCAGTCTTTAAAAGGTTTTCAGTCTAATGGACCAGGACTTCAGTACAAAGTCAGCTGGCGTCAGAAAGATGTTGATGATGAATGGACATCTGTTATAGTTGCAAATGTATCTAAATATATTGTGTCTGGTACACCAACTTTTGTTCCCTATGAAATAAAAGTACAAGCTTTAAATGACCTAGGATATGCACCAGAGCCATCAGAGGTGATTGGACATTCAGGGGAAGACTGTAAGTTTTGTAGTTTGACTCAGTTCTGCTAATTAGTAACAACTAGATGTGTAACCTAAATGGGTATTTAAAGTAGTAAATTATTGAAAAAGGGGGATATTAGTTATTTTTTAATTAAAATGAAGTAATTTGGAGATAATAAGGCTTCATAATACTCTGTAGTATTAATCCTGAGGTCAGCTTTTTAACATAGGAACTTTCTAACCTGCTCCTTAAGTGCAATGCAAAGACTCATTCTGAAAAAGTATGTTCAGGTGGTGTCTCATTATAACTAGATACTTGTTGCACCCTTTCCACACAGTGCCAATGGTTGCTCCAGGCAACGTGCAGGTTCATGTTATTAACAGCACATTAGCAAAGGTGCATTGGGACCCAGTTCCACTAAAAACTGTCCGAGGACACCTTCAGGGGTACAAAGTAAGTACAGTCAAAAGCTTTGTTTTCCTCATTTATTAAATTAGATCACTCCTCCTATATGAGACTGTATCGAGGTTGAAGTAACATATAAGAGGACTCTTGCTTTTCAGTGAGCTCACAAGTTTTGCTGACAAGAGCAACAGCATTGATGCAATTCATTTAAAGTTCAGCAGTGTTCCAGCCTTGTAGTAGGAGCCTCCTGTGACATTGTCCTTAAAGAAAAACGGGATGTTTGCCATTAAGTTTGCCCGCATTATATAGATTTTAAAAATGATAATAGTTTTACACGTCTTATTCCAAAAGAATATTTAGAGGATAAGGAGAAATAGTTTCTGGAGGAGTTTCTTCTAAGTCTAATGCTAAGATTACTCATTTCCTGAAATAATATGATTAATCACATCTTTAATTCTGAGTAACTGGCCACTTGCTAGCTTGTGCTGGGTGCCTTGCCATTTTAGAGGCCAGGAAAAGCTCAATTTAAAAGCTTAATTTAAGGAGACAGGAGATGGCAGAAGATTTGGAATGTAGATATAATTGAAGGAAGCTGAGTGTAAGATAATGTATGGGCTTTGATGATAACTGAGAAGGCTGTGTTGGAGACAAAGGACTGCAATTAATAATCAGAGACAGAAGAACTTCAAGGTTAGAAACTGGGGCAACTGGTGTCCCTGGAGGACAGGGAAAATCTGATGGCAAAGATTGCCCTAGAAGCCTATCAGAAGAAAATCGAGAGTGGAAACCGCAGAGGCATGGTAGACTGATTGTGGAGGGAAGAGTGGAATGAGAGGACATACTGACTTCCTATGCAGCAATAGAATAAAACAAAAAATAATTACTTCCTCACTCGTCTGCTAGTATACTAATAAATATGTTCTAACAAAACAGGCTAGTTACACAGCCTGAACTAGGTTACTTTGTAAGACAGACTGATTTGAACTACTTCGATTTAAATGAAAGGATGAAAAAGAAGTATTTAAAAAATAAAAAGACTAAAGAATATTTGGAGGAGAGTAAAAGTACATCATACTGATAAAATAGAGGACTAGCGATGAAACTGAATTTCAGTGCATTACAGCTGGTTACCTCATGAATGTGAATTCCTGGTATGTGGATGTCACTCACCTGGCACAGAATACCGCTGTCCAGAGAGACTTAAGGTAGTTCTGTGTGAGACAGCATATGTATTTGTAATTAGTGTGGTGCTTTGCCCTAGATAATAAACTTGGCTGAGAAATAGGACTTATTAGTCTGTTAATGTTTATCTGTTAGATGACAGTCTTGTATCAACCTGCTACTTCACAGACAAATGGGCAACCGAAAGAAAACGTCCATTATATGAGGATTAAAGAGTTAGAATTTAGTGAAGTTAATGCTTATTATCAATCCAGTTGCAGCAATGCTAATGCTTATAATCCAAATCACCAAATTTCTGTTAACCATAATTAATAATACAAAAAAATCCATAGACATAAACGCCTGCCCATACATCAGGTATTAAGTTCTTACCCGTCAAAGGCATGGTTACAGGGAGTTGTCATCATCCCAAGTTTAGGTGATTTTTTTTTCCCTCAGACTTGGAGTCTCTGAGGGTTATATTAAAGCTGTCTTTTAATTTCAGACTGGCTAGTGACAAGTGATGACCCAGGTTTAATACCATACTTTGTGAAAAGTTACTGGCTAACAATTCTTAAAATATCATGAGCTATACCTGATGAGTTTCAAAACTAATAGTACCAACACTTCAAGATTTTGTTAGCTTATAAATACCGTTCTGCACTAGTTGGTAGGATGAGAGCTGCAGGATGACAGCTGGCAGTGTTGAAAAACATGAACTCAAGCCATGTAAAATACAATGGCAGTTAACAGTGATTAAAGTGAAATGATATGGTGTTAGCAGTAGAAGGCTGGTGTTAGTGTAACATTGCTTTATAAGCTATCTAGTTGGGCTTTTTAAGCCGTAGCAGTTCCCTTTTTTGAATTAATATGTGAAATCAAAGCTTCTTTAATTAAAGAGTTGTTCTGCAGTTGGCCTAGATGGAGTGAGAATTTCACCCATGTACATTGCTTTATCAGTTTTAGTGTGTGTTCATACATGCATGAAAATTATGCTGTAAAAAATGAACGTTCATCTATTTGATCGTGACAATCCTAGGAGTAACACGAGACTTTGTAGGGACAACTGTTAATGTCTTTCCAGATGTCATGGTAGAGAGACTGTGTAGTAAAGAGAGTGCAGTCAACGTAATTAGCTCTGAGGCTCATCTGTAGTTCTTTAGAAAATCAGTCAGCAAAATGGACACCAGAATCAGCTTTCTGGTCTGGTCTGATTGTCACATAAAAGGAGGAACAGTCCTCCTGTCCCTAGGTAGAGATCATTCCATGACTGGAACCTCAGAGTCCTTTCAGAACTTGTGTGTTTTTCCAGCCCAGACGAACCTGTTGGTTTCTTTCCCATTTAAAAAGATCTACTTGGCTTACACATCACACGGAATAGCATGGTCAGGTGTGTGACGTAACAAGGTGGCAAAGTGTAAGTCTGCTTTGGAAGCTGTGTAGACATCTTACTGCAAGAATGGATGGTATGAATGAGTCCTGCCTCTCAGATGGACTTGCCAAGATGAGAACCATCACATACTAATACAGTTCCAAAGCAGAACATATGTCAAGCTGGCTTTGAGCATTAGGAGAACTAGCAGGTGATAGCACTCACCCCGTTGTGTAGAAATGACTGTTTCTGGGCAAGGTCTGTTTCTGAAGCAGGAAAGCTGTATGCTGTGTCTCACCTGAGCTTATTAAAATTGCAGTTATTCCTACCTATAATTCATGGCTATTCATGGCAAAGCTTGGAGTTTGTAAAATCAGAACACCTAAACACTCACTGTGGATTTTCTTTTGTCTTTAGGTTTACTACTGGAAAGTGCAGAGTCTATCCAGGAGGAATAGGCGGCACGTAGAAAAAAAGATCTTGACTTTCAGGGGAAACAAGACTTTTGGAATGTTGCCAGGGCTGGAGCCCTATAGTTCTTATAAGCTGAATGTTAGAGTTGTTAATGGTAAAGGAGAAGGACCAGCAAGCCCAGACAAAGTATTTAAGACCCCTGAAGGAGGTATGAAGTGAGAAAGCTAGAAAATAAATGAAATGTGGTATATTCAGAAATAGAACACTAAGGGTGTAATTGCTGAGTTTGCATCTTGGACATCATAAAATAATAATCTGGCTCAATACAGTAATATTCTTAAGGATTAATAATTCATGAACTGTTTTAAGTTAATCTACTTTGTATTTACTGTATATTCTTCTTAAAAGTTCCTAGCTCACCCTCCTTTTTGAAGATTACTAACCCAACGTTGGACTCTCTTACCCTGGAGTGGGGTTCACCTACTTATCCAAATGGTGTTTTGACATCATATATACTGAAGTTTCAGCCAAGTAAGTTAATTATGAATATAAAACTCTAATTTAGACAATACGTCTACCAAATAGCAATCCATTTATTGAGAGAAAGTTACATTAAATTTATAATGTATGAAAGAGATTATTTCATTGTAGATGTCAAGTTTGAAAAAGATTAATGTATTTTGACAATATAGATGACTCTATTTGGGAAACTTCACTTGCTCAAGTACAAGGTTAGCATTTTTCTATTACTTTTATTTCTTCGAACCACGCTTCACAGTAAACTGGAAGTGAAGTCCTACATATAATTGACAGACAAGTTAGAAGCAAGATACACTTGTAAATCCTACATTCTAACTGCAGAGAAAATATTAGAAGTAGATTAAAATACATCCAATTTTATTGTTGTCAGCTTCTTCAATTTTCATATATTAATTTTAAAATGAAAAATTCATTAATATGCCGTTTGTTCATATCGGAGCTATAAATCACTTCCTGAGGATCCCCATGCCACTGCTTACTTGCCGAGAAATTTGTCAGCAGTGACATGGGAAATTAAGAGATTCATGTGCATGGGACAAGTTAAGGAAGTTTTTCTTCCACTTAGCGATTTCGACTTTTCCTTGGCATTCGATACAAACCACTTCAGTATTTTTTCCCTCAGCATACTGACTTGATTGAGGCAGCTGGTTTAGAATTTCAGAATTTTTTAATGATCAGTGTCTGAAATGTGTGTAAGTTCAGATGATTTTACATGGACTCAGTTGCCTTGGATTCAGATACTTATGAGAATGGAACTTGAACTTTTAAAAGCTTGTAGGTGTTTCCTATGTCCCGGTTGAATTTTAGCACCTTGCATAGATCCTTTTTACACAAAGGTGACTTTCTTCTGAAACTGTAGTTTATCATTCATATAACCTGAAATGAACAATGCAACAGACAAACAAAACAAATAAATACAAGCAAAAAAGCCTCTTTTAACACAATGATAATGTAGGCAATTTTCTTAACTAACTCTTTTTTTTTTTTTTCTTGTATCAGTTAACAACACACATGAATTAGGTCCCTTGGTAGAGATAAGAATTCCTGCCAACGAGAGCAGCTTGATATTAAAAAACTTAAATTACAGCACACGGTATAAGTTTTACTTTAACGCACAAACTTCAGTTGGATCAGGAAGTCAGATAACAGAGGAAGCAGTAACAATTATGGATGAAGGTAAGATGGGTATGTATAAAGAAAACCCACTGAGCCTAAAAACCACTACAAATTTTATTAAAAATATTACTACTCCTTCCTTCCATTAAGGAAATAGCCCCTTGTAAAATTTCCTCTAGCGCTTTCTTAACTATATTATACACTAATAAAAGACTTTAAATAGTTTTTAAGAAAAGATGTGCGAAGGTTTTCTACTGTAGTGGAAGCCCCCAAAAGAGGTGTAAAGCCCTCTTTTTGATGTAAACTTACACCATCTAAGACTATGGCTTTTCTGGGCTTAAAAGTTTCATGCAACTTTACATTTTAAGAGGTCTTCATCCTTTCACCTATTGTGCTTCATTGACCTTCACTGGTCATGGAAAACAATATTGAAATGATGCAGCTTTATGTGTAGAGGAAATTATTTCTCTTTTGAAGTACGCAACAGCTTCTGTGAGGTCTAAACTTTTTTCACAGAGCTGTAAAACTGTAACTTTAAAAAAGCTGCAGAAATAAATTTGTCATCTATAGCCCCAAGTAACTGGTGACATTATATAATATTTAGGTACTCTAAAGTATCTTGTTCAATCCTTTTATTCATTTTTACATTTGTAGCCATTCTAGATCTGATTTTGACAGTTCTTTTGTTGAGATGTTATTTGTTCAAATATAAAAGCTTAATAAAATAAGAGTAATTTAAAGCAGAGGGGAAATTGTGAGGGAATGGTTTTTATGATTTTGCACATCTTAATATTAAAAGTCTATTTTGGTAGCATCTTTTCATGTATTTTTATGCTTAGTAAAATTATAGTTTATTAGAATTGCTATAGATGAGTTGGTACGCAATGCAGTTTCTCTAATAGTGTATTAAGGTTGCATATGAACTACATTTATTTTAAATCATGAATCTTAACAAGCATGAGCAACAAAATTTTGTAAATGCATGTATATTAATTTTTGTCTTGTAATCGTCTGTCTGTTCAGCATAAGTGGATTGTTTCTAATTTATTTGAATTAATACTTTTTATCTAGTCTGCATGGTTTCATGGTTTATAATGGAATTATATATGTATGTTCCCTTTGGTGTTGTATCTAATTATATAGTGTTCCTATTCTTGTTTTCCTCCATTAAAGCTGGTATTCTTCGTCCTGCTGTAGGTGTAGGAAAAGGTAAAATGAAACTGCATGATTTGTTAATGTGTGGATTTTGCAGTGTTACAAATGGGGAAATTGCAGTGGTAAGGACAGAAAATCTTGGACTACACATTGCTATACAAAGTATTAATCAGTGCTGGAAGAAAACATTTGTGGGTTTAGTTGTTTTGTTTGTTTTGTTCTGGTTTGGTTTTGTTTTAAAGGAATCCAGAACGCTTATTAATACCTTTCATCTGTTTATTTTGCCACAGAGTTCCAGGGAATTCATTAGCTTTGCTTCAGCAAAGTCTAATTATTTCTGACCGTTTAATAGATGTATGTCACCGTCATAAATATTCAGGATCCAGGTGCACTAGCACTGATTATCTGGAGTAGAAAAAAACAACACTTTTGCAAAGGAGATTTTTTTACTGCCTGTGCCATATGCATTTTTTGTTTTTAAAAAGTAGGTGTGTTCTTGTTCTCTCTGCTGATTAATGCTACCCATTTGAACACATTTATTTCATTTGCGAGACAACTGTGCATAGGAGACAGATGTCTGACACTACCCTCTGTATACTTCTCAGTTTGAGTATCAGATTGAATATACAGGCAAATGGCTTCCTGCTGTCTTAGGTTCACAGAACTTGTGAGTGAGCACTTGAGAGGATATTTCAGTGGAGAGAATATATTATCTTCCTTATTTTTGAATTCGGTAATATTTAGTTCTTTGTGATGCAGTTCTTCTGTCAAGCAAGGTGTTCTTCATATTTTTGCACACAGTTTTTATGAATTTTGATACCTTTACTGTCAGAAGCAAAGATTGGTGGGTAGCTGTAAGTCAGAAAAGTGTCTCTATTCATATGGGTCATTTTTCTCACAGAGGTGTCATTGACACTAATTAACATCTGTGCTTCAGATTCTCAGACCATAAACATCCCAAATCAAACTCTGTACATGAAATACACAAGTTTTTTACAAACTTGCAAGAGAGAGCATAAATTGTTTTACATATATTTTCTTTCCACTTGATGATCAGGTATTTTGAATGATAACAGAACTTCGAATGATAAAAAAAGAACTTAATTCACTCTGATATAAATCATATGCATATATGCATATATGTATATGTATGTATGTATGCATTTGTGCATATATATTATATATATTTATACGTGTATATATAAGTATATTTTAATATCAATTACATTTCTGGTAAGTGTACGGAGTTGTGGATTTATTTTAATGACAAGTCTTTCATACTGTGTTTTAGTCTAGTTGTAGCTGAAAAATCAGCACAGATTGGAACAATCAAACCCAGCTTGTAGTCCTGGACATTAACAGCAGAAATGTAAATTAAGTTCTCATTATTTATAGCTGACTATAAAAACTCTTGCAAGGAAAAATGGACTCTCTGTGTGAAATTGAGGTATAGCTGTATCACAGTCTGTGGCTAGCAGAAAGCATCTTATTTGTAAGATCAGCTGGAGCAGCTCACATTTCAGAGCTGTCGTCTGAGATTCTCTGAAAACTAAGCAGATGTCTTTGTTTGGTTCCATGCCATTTATGGTTTCAAAGTTTTCACATTTTCCTGTAGCATCTACCTCTTACAATTGCAAAGAAAACTTTGAAACTGCAAACAGGATGGAACTAAAGCCATGACATCTGTTAGGACATCTGAGTTGCTGCAGGTCTGAGACGAATGTTCTCCATGGTTACTTACATTGAGGTGTTAAATGTTTCACTACTGATCAGGGACTATGAGGAAGGAAAAGGAGGATCATATTATCAAGATCAAGTGCCAAATTATTTGGTCTCATGAGTGGGTGGATTTAGAGATAGAAGTACTCAGGCCACTCAAGAAGTAGTTGTATCCAGCAGTGAATTTTTACTCCTCTGTTAAGTGCAGGAGGGCCTATACATATATCCAGTTTTTATGAATGTGGACCCAAAGCCAAACCCAGGAGAAGGTGAAATTTAGTGAATATTCCCAGCATTTTTGTGATGTATCAAAAACATCTCAGTTTTTTGTTTTAAAGGGCAGAACTTACCAGAACAACGTAGTTATCCTTTCTCTTTCAATTTGAGCACATTCATCTTGGAAGTTAAGAAGAAAATAGGTCCCAGATTCAGACAGCCTAAATTGCACTGAAATTTCTGTACTTGATGTTTTGTACTGGCGCTTGCTTCCCCTGAAGACCTGCAGCTTGGCCAGTCAGAAGCAAGGTCCTGAAGGAATTAAAATCATTTAAACCTGAGTGAGCTGTGCCACTTGGGACATATTTCACTTCTCAGAGTAAAACTATATAATAAAGTGTGGAGGCAAATACTGCTACGGTAAATCTAAGGATCTTAGAGTGTCTCAGTATTTGTATTGTAGTCCTGGAATACATTCCCTGTCTCTTGACACCATGTGTCTTTTGCTGTCTTTTTAGACAGGCATGTCTTTGATTACTTTAAAAACAATGAAAGTAACCACAGTCCCCTTACTGCTAGCTACACTTGTCAATTTTAGTATTTGTCCAAACTGAGTTTGATTATAATGACTCTACTGGTGTTAAGTGAAGATATCCAGTATATTCTAAACCAATAAGTAGAGAAGCAAGTTGTGTGCATTTTTCCCATAAGGTAAAATAAAAATTTTAGATGTAAACATGAAATATGAGGTCAAGGCTAAAGGCTTTAGATAAAGGAATATTTTTTTTTTCTGTAGCTTGAATAAAACTTAGAAGCTCTATTGAAATGGTTGGCAAAATAAGGAGGAAATAATTATCTCCCTTTGATATGGGCACCATCCTAATAAAAAAAGTTCTTTAGACAAACAGTTCCATCAAATAGCGAAATGCAATGGATCTTGGCAGATTACAAGAACTGAGGTTTTTTTCTTCTCTGAGTAAAACTTCACAAAGGACGTCCATGTTATTCTCTCACCAGCCCACATGAGTAAATCATAAGACACATTATTTTACTAGATGGGCAACGTATCCTGTTATAGTTGTTAGCCCTTTGACTTGCACCATCTTTTTTCCTTTCTAATACTGCAATGTTATGAATTACTTAAATTTGATCAAATTATGCCACTACAAAGAAAAAATACTTGTTTTTCTTCTTAGCAACCTGTATTCTAAATGTGCCTGAAAACTGCATATGTAAAACATCAAGTGTTATACCTGGTATTAGATAAGCTGTATGCGTTGATATTGACATTTATTTATTGACATCTAACAACAGGCATGAGGTGACAGACGTGTGATAAAAATTGGGGGATAAGAACCTGATTACATATAAAATAATTATTATATCAGCTGGAAAGTGACTGAGACAATCAGTGGAGTCAAGTCTTTCCTACCCTTCTTTTCTTTTTTTTTTCTTTTCTTTTTTTTTTCTTTTCTTCTAATAGAAAATTAGAAGTTTTAAATGACTGGACTATAGAGGAAGGAAGAGAATATGAATTTGACCTAGTAGAAATAAAAGTTACTGATTAAAATAAACAGTCACAGGGGCTCATTATTGTGTTTGTGGTAAGCTGAAGTGCAGGGAATCGAGCCATGCCATGTCCGTCTCTACGTTTCACAAGTCTTCTTGTTTCACTTTTCAGTTTCTTTTTTGATTTAGTCAACATTTTTATTTGAAAGTAAGGTCTTATACTCTGCATGCGTGCAGACTCTGGCAACTGGCAGTCCTGAACTGCAATTAAAATAAGGTTGTGAGATCACCGTTACCTTTAATTGAAGCTATCACTTCCTGTCAGTATGGTACTCAGTCTGGTCTGCCTTCTCCATGTGAACGTCACATCTCAAGTATTATTGACAGAAACACTTCTGTTGCAAGGGAGAAAAATAAGTAGTCTAGCCTCTGGGTTTGAAACTATTATTTTTTTTCTGACTGAATCTCCAATATGTAGCTCTTCACTGTAGGCTAGAAATCATTCTCAGCTGAGTTCATATCTCTGATCTCTGTAGAATCATCTTGATTTTCTTTGTTCCATACAAAATGCTGTTCTTTAAATCATTTTTCCCTGCCCACCATCTGTTTTCCCTCCCTCTTTGAATAATTTCACATAATGTCTCCATATTTTTTCTAACAAGTTCAAACTGCTTTTTCTTTTCAAGTTGATTATAGTATTTTTGTACTGCTCCTTCAGCTGCTCTCTCCCTGTGGACTTCTCCATGGTAGATCTGTGGGATTCTTTCAGTACAGCCTGCTATGCATAACCATTGTTTTGTCCTCTTTTAAGTCTACTGGGAACAATGATGATGCTTTGCCTGCTAGACTAGATAAAATTGTAACTATTGCAATGCAAAAATTCCTGCAAATACTTTTCACTTCGCAGACATCATGCAAAATCCATACCACACTAAATGCTTATTGGTAAAATGATTTCTTGCATTTCTTCTTTGTCTTCTGTATTTATTGCACTACAGGAATGCTCTTGAAATGGCTGCCTTAGTAATCTTAGAAGTGACTAATGCCTATCTCTCACTGCCAGAAATGGAATTGATTCCTACTGTTATGCTAAGGCTTGAACAGTTGTAGGTCAAAAAGCAAACAAAAGCAAAACCCTTCTCTGTGTCTTACAGGCTCTGGCAGAATCTACTACCTTTTTCCTTCATCTTTTTCTGCGTGTGGATGTCATTTTTTTTTTCTTTTGAATTTATTTTTCTCTTTATATATGCATTTTAACTAATTGTGTATGATATATCGCTTTGCGTTTTTTTTCCATTTGATGCCAATCTTCAGATGTGTGCTGGTCACTTACCTGCCATTTTTTTCCTTGAAATCAGGTGAATCTCATGAAAATTCCAAAGTTTAGCCACTTCAGGGATTATTTAATTTATTGTTCTGGGATTATTTAATTTATTGTTCTGCTGAACTAAATCTTGAGAGAGAGAGTACCTATTCTATTGTTAAAATCCATTCATATCTCATGTCATTTCTTACCAAATTCTATTGAATCTGCAGCCCAAGTGTAACTGTTATATGGAGGAACTGTGTTCCTGAAAGGCTGGAAGATTTGAATACAGCTCTACAAAAAAATCCACTAAAAAAGCAATTGAATTAATTTGAAAAGAAAGTAAAATTTTACCTTGAGTCTAGTCCTTTTTCTCAACAATTGGCAAATGCTTGTATACCATATCTCGTTACAAGAACGAAACCATACTCAGAGCTGCCAGCTAAACTTTGCATTGAATCATAGCGTCATTAGAAGAGCTTAATTTACCGGAGGTAGCTGAATATAAGAGTTGCTTTCTATAATAAACTGTAATTTATTAACAATCCATTCCCATCAGTTTTAGAGTGATGCTTTTGTCAGCGCTGCTGCACAGAGTCATGCATGGTTACAAATCAAGAGAGCACAGCGCTCCACTGCTGAAAAAGCCCCACTCCCGGAGACAAAGCTTTCTACCCCCCTTTCTACCAACTGGCACTTGCACATGCTGAGAATTTCTGCCAACTGACAATTACACATTTTGCATTTGTGAACAGTGCTGGGAAACATATTGAAGAACTAAGAGGTTAATTATAATTAGAGGTGTGCTGATTGAGAAGACAAGAGTAGATTGGAGACAAGCTTTGAATGTTGTAACTATTTCGACTCTAGGCATTCATCACCTCAGGATCCATCATCCGTCTTTTATCTTGTTATATGTTTGTATTCTTGTTGCAAATATGGCACATTTAACAGACTTAACTAAAACTTTCCAGGTCTGCTGGAAAATTAGACTAAGCAGTAGTGAAAAAGAGGAAGAATTAAAAAAATAAAGAATTAAAAAAAACCAGAACTTAAATCTGACCAAATACTATGCGTGGATAAACCTATACAAACAGCTGTTGGTAAGAATCAGATAAGAGTACATCTGATAAATGTAAGCATAAATCAGTCCCTTGAGAGGATTTAGAAACAAAGGCACCAAGGAAATTAAGGTAATTTTCAGAGCCAACTTAATTGTTACATACAATCATATGAACAGAAAGACCTTTACCAGATACCAGGTCTTTAATCTAGCAGAGAACTCTTTAGTAGAAACTGGTAACTGGAGATGGAAAAAGACCTCAGCGCATGAGATGGAAGTTTTAGAGGGAAGGTGATTACCGAAATTGCTTAGTATTACAGAAGCTGTCTGTCATCTGGAGTCTTTCACACAAGATGAGACAGTTTCCTTCATCCCCAAGTGCTCAGGAATGAGGAGGGAGAATTTAGGTGTAATTGTGGCATCTGTTTGCAAGAGTTTGAAACAGATTATTGCTGATAGTTTCTTCTGTCTTTAACATTGGTGACAAATATCAGTCATACAGTTGATGTCTTCTAATTAGACATCTTTAATGGAACAGCAAATCCAGGAAAATATGGCTTTGAGAAAATACAGTTTAATGAAACAAAACAAAGTTGCATTTGGAATACAAACCAGTTGTTTTCTTGGCACAGAACAAATGCTTAGATGCTGATTGTAACAAACACCTGCTCCTACGTGCAAATGAGGAAGGAAGTTTATGTATCCTGTCTGCAATCTCAGACTCTGCACCTTTCTAAATTTAGAGCATGCTATTCTTTCCTCTTGCTACCTTCAAGTGGAACAGAGAAGCAGAATCTAATCCCCTTGCATTACCACAGCTATATGGTTACATGCTGCATTTCCCATAGGCGGCCCTACCTCTGGTGTTCCTTGGGGGTTTTGTTGTTGAGTTAGTAACCTAGAGGGCTTTTTTAAAAAAAAAAAAAATCCAGTGCTTTCTATTTGATTTTGTTCAGGTGGTTTTAGCCAAGAGATAGATATATTCTTTATTATTTAAATAATATATTCCTTACTGGTTTTGGTTGGTAATTATATGTAAAATACATAAGTACAACTTACCTACAAAGACATCAAATGGGGGAGTAATACAGATTGCAAAGTTGAATGAGTACTACTGGAACAGAGTTAAGAAGAAAAATTTGATCCAAATATGGGGATAAAAAGTCTGATATTGTGAAAATTTGTAATCATACATTTTCAGGACAATTGATGGAATTTGCATCATTTAGGTATTTTTCAAAAAGACTCATAAGTACCCTGTCTAGAAAACTATAGTTTCTATTATTTAGTCTGTGTTAGGGTCTTGGATACAGATTTATTTATTTTACTATGCCAAAGTAAGCCATTTTCTCTTTGAATCTAATTTGGAACTTCTTCCAGTCAGCCATATGGACAAGACTATTCTGTTTTACGGACAAAATAATTAAAGTACGTAGATAGAATCTGTGCGGCACCTCTTGCCTTGAGAACAGGCTTTTGGCCATTTTATTTCCTGATGTAGGTGAAGCTATTGGAATTCTTCCATTTGCCTAGTTTTGCACCTCTGATGTTTCATGGTCCTTTGGGAAGTATTTTTGGTGGTGTTTCCAACAGAAAAGACATTTTAGTGAGATAGAAATGTCAGTAGCAAACCAAGTGAGGCATTTTCATTGAAAACTGATTTCATGCCTTTGAGGAGCATCCTCTTTGTATCTGCGCTATTACAGTATTAGAACTATTAAAATCTATTTTTCATTAATTTTAGGCAAACCAAAATACTAAAATATATGTCCATTTGTAACAAGTACAATTGGAGAACAAAAAATTAAGTTATGAGCAAAGAAGTGGCTAATTACAAGATGCTGAAGAGAGAAGCACTTCTTTTCATAGGTGTGGTCATTATGTGTACCTGTGAAAAGTACTGTTATCTAACGAGAATGTCAACAGTAAGACACAGTACCTTAAAATGAACAGCTTCTTGCATTCCAGTGATTTGTGTACTTCACAACAGAGTATTTTGATACTGGCTTTCCGGTATCTGATGTCTAATGTTACAATCTCTAAAGGTGCTGTGAATCTAGAATGTTAATTAAGCTGACCTCAGAAAAGTTGTGTGAAAGTAAAGGTGTCAGTACACACATACTTCAGTTTGGTTTTGAATACACGTGTATCATTTAGCTGTTTCATATTTTAACAAGTAAAACTAATTGAATCCTGCATGAACTTAAGAGTGTGCATGTGCTATTCATTTAACAGGTAAGGTTTTACTGTATTATTTAAATGTTACTTTTTGATGCAAAGTGTTTTTACTCTTTATTTTTTCTTTCCTACTATCTCTGATGGTGAAGGATATTCAGAAACCCTTTTTGCAACCTCCCCAGTCATGCTCACTGTCCGTCCAACATTCTATAAGGGTATTGTCTTCCTTTTTTATCATTATCAATACACTAAAGACAAAAATCCTGTAAGGACTTGCAGTTGAGGCATTTGCAGTCCATTCAGTGACCTGTGGCATAAAGCAATGTGTGTACCACCTTCATACCTCCTTCTCTCCTACCATTTCCCATTACCCTGACAACATTCTCACTTTCCAGCTGCCTGCATTTTACTTCTAAATGAATAGAAATAATGTTTTCCAGAGTTTTGGCAATTACATATTTTAAAGTGTTTGGCAGGTTTTGTGATAACAGGGCATGCTCAGTACAGTACATAGAATTTACTTTGTAATTTCATAGTGTAGTAGCTGCCCGAGATTCAATTACCAAATACACTACTTTAGTCACTAATTTCCTGTAATGGAAACAATGACAAATATACTATACTTTCCCTGTGTATGGTCTAAATTAACATAGTAGATTCTTAAAAATCTTTTTTTTTTTTAATGTGTGAAGTCACAATTTCATATTCTGCTTTTTTTTTTTTTATTGTGTATTCAGTGCAACCATTTTATCCAAGGATCAGAAATCTTACAACAGCTGCCGCTGAGACCTATGCCAATATCAGTTGGGAGTATGAGGGACCAGATCATGCGAACTTTTATGTTGAATATGGTGTAGCAGGCAGTAAGAAATAATTTCATTAAATGTTGCTAAAGTGTTCAGATATATTTTTAGAGATTTTTATAGTAAATGTGGTCCTAAATTGACAACAGTGTTAATGATAGCTCTTAAATGTCTAAAAGAATTTTTTTTTTACTTTGATCGGGAAGATCAAATAATTTTCATTTTAATGAACATCAATGTGTAGCAGGTATTTGATGCTTAGATAGAATATGAGCCTTTGTTCCTTTGTATTATTTTATAAATTCTTCAGAACATGAACTTGTAAAAATGTAGTTTACATTAAGTTGTTTATCATGCAATAATTGTATGTGTAACAATATAATTACTTGCATTAAAATAAGATCTAACAGTTTTCCTAAATTATGTCCAGTTCATGAAAAAAAAGAATTGCATAAGAAACCCAATCAAAACAATATTCTTTGTGAAATTAAACCTTAAAATAAGATATCAACCAACTTATGTACTTTTATTGGCATAAAAACAGGTTTTAATCTTTTGTAATAGTAATTAAAACACAGTTAGCTAATAAAACCAAGATGTTCTATACAAACACTCTATCCTTCTAAAGTTATGACTAAAGATGACCAATATGAAAATTTGAATATAGAATAATTTTTCTCGATATTGGTCAAAGAAGCAGCTGAGACTGTATTAGAAAAAGACACAAGAGAATTGTCAGGAAATATGATAAGTTTAGATTTTGAAGCAGAACTTCTTGACTAAAGTAGATACCAACTGAAACTACAGCAGTGTAATTTAATTAAATTATTAAAATCTATTTTAATGTTTTTTATAATTACAAATTTAATAAGTCTTTTAAAGAATAAATAGTTTTTCTCTAGTACAATGGAACAAATGTTTAAAATAGTCTCATAATTCATGTACAATGTTTTCTTCAATATATTGCATGCAATATATTATTTGAAGTCATAATATTTTTTTTTTGAGAGAATAGTTATTTTTTTCAGCCAATCCATAGTTTAGTCAAGTAACTGTTGATAGTATTCTGTCTAGAAACTTTCAGTAATACAGAGAAAATTAAAATTCCAATATGTTGCTTTCCTAAAATTTTTGTAGGCAAAGAAGATTGGAAAAAAGAAATTGTAAATGGTTCTCGAAGCTTCTTTGTCTTAAAAGGTTTAACACCAGGAACAGCATATAAAGTCCGGGTTGGTGCTGAGGGCCTGTCTGGTTTTAGGAGTTCAGAGGATGTGTTTGAGACAGGTCCAGGTGAGGCACACCGTACCAATTCTGTATCGTAGTCAGAATTGTGGTAGACCAAGTGCTGACACGTTGAACTGCTTCTAGCTAAGAAATGTTGTAGCTAGCATCTTTGCATGTTCTTTTTTTTAGAGCAATGTTGAATTATTTTATAAACTCCTAAATAATGCCAGCATATTTATAATGTACATTTGAATGTTTTCATCCTTTCAATTCACTCTACTTGTCTGTTGTTTATATTATAGGCAAGATACTCACTGCTCACATTCCATCTGTGTGCTGTGCGCTGAAGATGACCTGTTTCCTTTATTTCTAATCAATATAATGCGTACATTTATAGGGCCAAGTATAGATTTTTTTGAAGCTAACAATCTCTATATGATTGGTTTTAATACAAAAAATCTGAGCTAAAATGTTTGCATAATCAGAAATGCAGATTCCATTTGATGTCTCGTAATATATTTATATCAGTGTTAGAGATTCCTACTTGTAATGTTCCTTTCCCAATCATATACTGGTTTTATATCAGTATTGCTGTCACAACTATATCCTGTGAATCAGTAAGGCTGTTTAAGTTCCTTATGTACATATTTCAGTCGTATTTCTTCATCAGCAAATCAGTAATGCTTGTTCATTTGACTTGAAGAAGGGCCTTTATTGGAAGTTCTTTGATGTTATGCTGAATATGTCTTTGCCATCACAGCATGGTCTTGGTCAGCTCTTATTATTTGTTGTGTATTTGCTAGCCACTGCTGCACATTCCAGACATTTTGGTCAGTGCATAGTCCTTCGGCAGTAGCCTCACCAACTGCAGAATGTTATGATTTAAGAAAGTAGTTTAAATATGAAAATATGCTTGAACAATATGTAATAATTATCAGACAACAAAGTAAATAATGAATATACCAGTTTGATGGTGAGCACTTTCTAAAATCATAATTTATTGCTTTGTTTTGTTCCATTTCTGTTCACAGTTTATCATGTTGCAGGAAAGCTTTGAAAACACGGTGCTGAATAACAGTGCCAGGAAAATATGTATGGGCTAAACACAGAGGTTATTTATGCCAGAGACAGCTAGTGGTATAGAAAGCAGATATGTAAAATTTTATGCAAATACACATCCAAAGCCTAAAGCAGCAGTAAACCAGGGATCAGGACTATAGTGTAGTTCAAAACAAGCTGAGTGGAGACCTTCCCAAAAGCATCTTTTGCACAAAAATACTGAGCCAGTAGATAAGGAATGTTGTATGTACCTGTGAATGACCCAATCACCTTGGCATATATCCTTGAGTAGTTAAGGAGGAAGGGAATTTGAAGACACTCTCTTCTGCTTCTTGATAATGGAAGGGTTCAGTGTCCAGCATGAAATTATATACATAGCATATTTCTTACAGAAAAAAACTGTGTCACACTGTCTTCAGCCTAGATCATAGCTTTTAAACACTGCAAAAAATAAAGTGGACAAGGAAGAAAATGTTGTAATATGGAATATGCCCTTAATTAGGAATGAAACTGCAATATTTGGTATATGAGACTTGCCCCATTTTTTTCTTTGACAAGCATTCTTATAGAGCATCTACATAGTATTCGGGTTTATCTTTTGGAGTGTACCAGTACAGGGTATTTCACTGACTCCTGCATTAGCAAGTCACCAAGAGTAAATGTCTTTTTGCCTGAAGCAGATAATTTGCTTAGCGTAAGCAGGAAATGTTGTGCCATTTTTAAAGCTGCACTGAGATTTAGAAACCCTTTCCTACTAGAAATGTAATAAGTTAAAGAATACAGGAAGTTGCATAAGTAAGTTTTCATCTTTA